CACACTCAGCATCCTCACACTCAGCATCCTCACACTCACTCAGCATCCTCACACTCAGCATCCTCACACTCAGCATCTTCACACTCAGCATCCTCACACTCACTCAGCATCCTCACACTCAGCATCCTCACACTCAGCATCCTCACACTCACTCAGCATCCTCACACTCAGCATCCTCACACTCACTCACTCACTCAGCGTCCTCACATTCTCATCCTCACACTCACTCAGCATCCTCACACTCAGCATCCTCACACTCAGCGTCCTCACACTCACTCAGCATCCTCACACTCACTCAGCATCTTCACACTCAGCATCCTCACACTCCTATTGCTTTATTGTTTCTCCCAACATCTACCCAGGAGCCAAAGACTTTTTCCACATCCCTTTCCTGACAGTTATACAAATAAAACCAAAGAAGCATTTGGGGGACTTTCAGATTCAGATGAGCCAACAGACACACCCAACAACCTCACCTGACTTGTTGAAACCAATTTGATTTTCCCCTAATTTCCTAATAGTAGTTAGGATTATTTTTCTGGAAACCAAACTGAATTTAAAAACATAAAAATGCAATTTTAAAACACTGCTTTGAAAACTTAAAGGGGCAACACTACACATAATTTCCTTTGCAAAAATGGTGGATTCCAATTCAAAACTTAGCAGGGTTGCAGCAGAGTGAAGGAAAAATGTAAGAGGACTTTCCCTCATGGACTCCTGTTTCGAAGTCCAAAGGACTGGATGACTGTTAATGAGTAAAGGTAAAGGCAGACAATATGAGGAAAAAGTCATGAGTAAGAAGAGCTAAGCGCCTGCTGGGGCAGCACAGTGGAGCTGGCCCTGGTGCAGAGGGCATGGGTGAGCTACTGAGGGCATGAGTCTGGGAGAGCTAGTCCCATCACTTGTCTGCTATGAGGTGGAGTTGGTGGAGGGATAATGCATTCCTCACCAGCCCCTCACCACCTGTGGTGGCCTGGCCCCAAGGCCATGAGAGTAAGAGAGCTAGCCCTGCCCCTCACTGGTTATAGCACTTGGGAGAGCAGACCCTGCAACTGGCTGGAGCAATATAGTGGAGCCAGTCCTGAGGGTGTGGGAGCTGGAGCGCTGTCTCAGCCCCTCAACAGTGGCAGCTCCTGGAAGAGTAGCCCTACACCTCGACTGAGCAGCACAGTGAAGCTGGCTCTGGAGGCATGGGTGCAGGTGAGCAGGCTCCCTGGGCAGGAGAGCTGACCCTGCCTGCTGCCCAACAGTAGCATAGGGTGGCCTGGCCAGAGAAGGGTTGGAGAGCTTGCCCTGGTGGTACAAGTAAGGAGAGTTGTCATATTGAAAAGCTCAGCTACCACCCAGGCCCAGACCTAGGGCTCTGAATTGGCTCACCTCAAAATCTATACCATCTGTGAATGGCTGGGATTCATAAAAGGGCCAGTCCTGCTGATCTAAAATTGCAGGACCTCCATGACACAGTTCTGGTGAGGATCCAATATTGATGGTGTCATAGAAGCCAGAGAACTCATACCAGACCAGTGACTCATTGCAATGGACATTTGTAAATAAAGATGAGTGGACAGAGGGATAGACTGTGAACACACAGTGACACACTACGAATTTCACAAGATGTTTTTTATGCTGAGTGTGTGTGTGTGTGTTTTGTTTTCTTTGGCAGGGGAGGTTGCAAGTGCAGAGGGTAGATTTGAAGGGACAGAGAGATAAGTGGGACTGGGGTGCATGATGTGAAATTCACAGAGAATCAATAAAAAGTTAAAAAAAAGAAAAGAAAAGAAGAGCTAAGCCTCATTCTCTTTTTCTGAGTCTCTCAATTCCAAGTGAGATGACTACACTGGATTTGGTGAGGAAAAAAGGCTTGATAGAAATGGGGGTGGTGTCAGGGAGGTGCTAGAGATGGGACTGTGTTCCTCTGAGAAGATCCTATACCCTCTACCTTAATTGCAAGTTTTAAAATCTCCCAAATAGGCAGCTGGGGGCCATGCTTCAGTACTTCGTGAGTAAAAGCAGTGGTTGATGCAAACGCTGAAGGACAGAAGATGGCTCACTGCATCTGAGTGCCTCTCACTAATGATGGCTCTACAGCACTTTGGAAAACCCACAATATCATCAAGTCAACTCAAGAGCGGGTTGAAAGGTGCCAGAAGTTTGCACCTATTCAGGCACCTAGAAGACGGGACACGGAGACTGCTTTCATGTACTAAGGGCAGACATCGGTTGGGTTGTGGACCTGATCAATACTATCATGAATAAAATGCCATTGTTTCTCTTTTTAAGATCACAGTGTAAGTTACACAACACCCGTTCTTCCAACTTATTTTATTATCAGTATAGTCTAGAAGTCCTCGTTTCGGGAGAACAGCTGCACTCGGTATCTGCCTCTTCCGGTTGCTCTTGGGCGCGGAAAGCCCTTCAGGTTGCTTGTGAACTCTTTATCACTGAGATCTCAGAAGAGTAGAACACAGCGGATGCTGAAATATAAAAGCATGATCATGTGATGCCTGGGAAGCACTGAAGTCAGCAAAGCGACTGTATGCCGCACCCTAAGGACTCTCAATGCCCACACCCACCTTGATTCCACCATTGCCCCAATTTCTCCAAGTAAAACATTAGCATCTGAATAGCGCGTCTGGGTTGGAACCAACACCATACAGAAAAGGAAGGCACCCTGTTCTAGCACCTTTCCTTGTGGATGCACAACCACAGAAGAGCCCAGGACCACATTGTAGCTTCTCTTCAACATCCCGCTGATGTAGCATTGTGCCTAATGTCTGGACCAGTAAGAAAAAGAGGGCTTTCTTTTCCTCTTGCAGTATGCCTACTGCCTGCTAGGTGCCTTTCCCTATACACAATAATAATTAAAAAATTTCAGGTGAGTTTTCCTGGAGCGTTGTTCTTGATTTAAATGGGTTGACATACTCAGTGAAAAATTGACAAAGAAAAACAGGGCAAAAATGTGAAGGTTTTCATAAAAAAAATTAAGCAAATGAAGTGTGCAGGCAGGGTTGGGGGGGAAAGTATGATGAACTGGAGACCTTCTTCCTAGTGAAACCAGAAAAAGCACATTCTCGGCAGTTGTGATTGGTTCTTTACTGTTGCTACTTGCTCTACTCTGACTCTGCAACACTTGTAGCACTCCTGGAAGACAATTGAAGGTCAATTGTCTCCAAATTGAAACATTTGCTCCCAGAGAGAGAAAAAGGACTCATAGAAGTCAGGAGGTAGACAAGCTACTCAAAGTCCAGGAAAGCTGAAGCTTTCATGATTCTGTAGCCCTGACACAGTGTCATAGAAACAGTAGCAACTGCTCAAGAGGAGAGTCTCACCAGCTCAGCTATAGACTTGGGACAGTTAGAACTGTTTGTAAGTGATGCAGAAAGGTGCAGGGATGCAGCCCTTGTAATCATCACCCACGCTGAGGGGGTTTCTCTGTGATTCAGCTGTTTTAGAGTCACCCCTGTTCCTGTGAATAACCCTGTGTCCCTGTTAGTAACTCCAATAAAAACAAAGTTGGACTCAGGTTACTTTGGCCTGTTGTGAGTTCCCCTTCTGGGGTGAGTAGGTGTGTGTGTGTGTGTGTGTGTGTGTGTGTGTAATACAAGTCCCCAAGAAATCTGTCTCACACAACAACAGTCTGCCGTCAATTCTTGAGCATTAAAAGAACATGTAAACAAATTAGTACTGGGGGAGTAAATGAAGCAGACCTACAGTTGTGCTAGCATGTGGGTTGAGCATTGTTCAGAAAAGACGTATAAGAATTTGTCCCTTAGCTGGAGTCTCGAGTCATTTCTTAGACTTCTTGCAAGGTTCCTGACTCCAGAGATTCAATTAATTTGTTGTAGGTAATTTCTCAACCCCCCAAAATAAACACTATTGACCAATGTGGAAAAATACATTATCTTCAGTATCCTTCTGAAATTCTGAAATTGAGTGGGTAGACGTTTCCTAAAGAGAGGCCTATAGGTAAGCCTTTTCCTATGTTGATGATGTCAGGAAACAGCGAGATGTGTATAAAACATACTAAGGGTTCGAGTAGATATATCATCAACAAAACTCACGCTTTTCCTGAATGATACAGCTCCAAGGCTTTGTGGAGTTGGTTAAAAGGCAGCTGATGAGTCACTAAAGGATCTATATTAATCTTATTTTGAAGATAATCAGTCACTATTTGGGGAATGCAGTCTCTGGTTTTATAACCTTCAAAACAAAAAGTTTATTATTTTCATATAATATTAATATACTCTTAATAATATGACCCAAGACCAACCAGGCTGCTGAGATGGCTCAGTGGGTAGTGGCACTTGAGTAGAAACATGACAACCTGAATGAGATCTGTGGGACCCACGTGATAGAAGGAGAGAACCAACTCCAGCAAGTCGTTCTCTGACATCCTTGTGTGTATTCTGGCATGCACACACACACACACACACATTCAAACACACAAGTAATAATAAAATAAATGTAATAAAAAATAAGAAGTATCCATCAACCAAAAGAGAGAAAAAAAAAGAAATCAGTGAATTAAGATAGATGGGTAAGATGTCCATTTTTATCACTGACCATGAAAATCATTTGTTTCCTGAGAAGCCACTGAGTGACAGCTGTTGTTTAAATGTGGCTACTATGGACAGTTCTGTTACTTAGTCATCTTTTAAATAAAATCTGGGTCAACATTCATATTCCCAAGCTGAAAAGCAACCTTTTAACCTTATTAACCCACACTGGGATTACCATTGTGAAACCATTTCCCCTCACGTATATGGGGAGGGCACGGGAATGTTCTTTATCTGCATACATAGAACTGGCATGGGTCTGCATACATAGAATTGACATGGGCACCCTCTTTATTCATGTGCATGGAAATGCATGGAGAATCCTCTATATCCACATGCTGAGAATGACATGGAAACCTTTGCCTACGTCCATGCAGATTGCACAAGAGCTTCTCTATCCACATGCATGGCCGTGGAGTGGACACTCACCACTAGATAAATGAGTAGAAATGGAAGTGTCAGTTTTTCAAATCAGCTAATCAATATTGATCAGAAATAAGGATTTTTCTGGAACTATAGAAGCACCTGTCCAAACATACCAGTTTAGTGCATGCAATGGCACTTAAGACACTAAAAGACATTGCTGTTAAGATAGCACAATAAACTTTGAAGCCGTCAACACAGAACTGATGATTAAATTATTCTAATTGTCACAAGAACATTTCTCTAGGAGAAAAATGATAGTCCTCAATGCCTCCACTATTTTATTTAGCTAATTAAAAATTAATTTGATGGTTTAGGAAAATGCCTTTTTTTGGTAAAGTACTTTTCATGAATTCGTGTCCCCAGCACCTAAATAGTCAGGCATTGTGGTTATGTACATGTAATCTTAACAGGAAAGTGGAGACAGGAGGACCTCTGGAACTCACTGCACAGTTAGTCTTGTTCAGTTGGTGAACTCCAGGCATAGTGAGGGACTCTGTGTCAAAAAAAAATAAGCAAGACAGAGGAAGACATCTGATATCAAACTCTGCCCTTCACATGTACACTCATGTAGTCATGTTTGTACACCCTTACACATGACATGCATGATCATACATGAACCTGCACACACACACATGAATTCATACACATACCTATATCATACGACACACTTCCCAAAATTAAACTAAAAAGTAATTTGAAGAACGTTACGCTCATTTCAGGAGGAGTCTTTGGACACATTTACCCTTGATGTCCGGTCCCCTAAGGGGAGGAGCTAAGTGACCACACCCTTCTCCTCACCCACCTACCTCCCAGACACATGCTCTTCAGGGTTTTTCCGGATAAAATCTTGGATGCCTCAAGGGATATCTGTGCATCTGATGGAGCCAGCCCAACGATCACACACACACCATAGCTTTTGTTGCAGGAGTTCCAAGCAGCAATCTGAGAAGACAAGGATAACCCACTTGCACATCCCATGAGATCGCACCAGCTGCCCACAAAGGGAAAGAATCCTGGATATGCTGGGACCTTGAACTTCTCTTGGACTGATGCTACTTCAAATTCAACAACATTCACCACTGTGATCGGTTGTGGGCGTCTCCTCAGAGAATCAGGGCAGCGTGGAAATAAAAGATGCAGACTCAGCAACTTGTGAGACTCAGGCAATTTCTTTAACTTCCTGTTCACTGTTTGTCTGTAATGTTAGTCTGATTGTTGAATGATTTATCATCCTTAAGATCTCCAGAGTGCTCTCCTCTAGCTGAACAAGATGCCCAAATGAAAGAAGGCCAAGGGGAAGAAGGTGGCACTGGCCTGCACCGTTGTCAAGAAACAGGAGGCCAAAAAGGTGGTCAGTCCTTTGTTTGAGAAAAGGCCCAAGAACTTTGACATTGTGCAGAACATCCAGACAGAAAGAGATCTCACACATTTCATCAAATGACCCCACTACATCAGGCTGCAGTGGCAAAGAGCCATCCTCTATAAGTGGCTCAAGGTACCTCCTGCCATTAACCAGTTCACCCAGGCCCTGGACAGGCAAACAGCTACTCAGCTGCTTAAGCTTGCCCACAAGTACAGGCCAGAGACAAAGAAAGAGAAGAAGCAAAGGCTACTGGCCCGTGCTGAGAAGAAAGCTGCTGACAAAGGGGACATCCCAACTAAGAGACCACCTGTCCTCCGAGCAGGAGTCAATACAGTCACCACTTTGGTGGAGAACAAGAAGGCTCAGCTGGTGGTGATTGCCCATGATGTAGATCCCATTGAGCTGGTGGTTTTCCTGCCTGCCCTGTGCAGAAAGATGGGTGTGCCCTACTGCATCATCAAGGGAAAGGCCAGGCTGGGGGCCTGGTCCACAGGAAGCCATGCGCCACTGTTGCCTTCACACAGGTTAACTCGGAAGACAAGGGTGCTCTGGCTAAGCTGGTGGAAGCTATTAGGACCAATTACAATGACAGATACTAGGAGATCTTCCACAACCAGGGAGGTGACATCCTGGGTCCTAAGTCTGTGGCTCATATTGCCAAGCGGGAAAAGGCAAAGGCTAAATAACTCGAGAACTCGCCACTAAACTGGGTTAAACGTACACTAAGTTTTCTGTACATGAATATAATTACAAAATAATCTTCCAAAAAGAAATTCTTCAGAGCTACACCCGTGTACAAGAATAAATGGTACGTTCAGTCAAACTGCCGTAAAGGCCATGCATTCTGTTTGTCTGACTTTCTACTTGCTCTGCTTTAGTGCTCAATCAATTTCTGCTAAAACAGAACAGAACAGAACAGAACCCAACAGAACAGAACAGAACAGAACAGAACCCAACAGAACAGAACAGAACAGAACCCAACAGAACAGAACAGAACAGAACAGAACAGAACAGAACAGAACAGAACCCAACAGAACAGAACCCAACAGAACAGAACCCAACAGAACAGAACCCAACAGAACAGAACAGAACAGAACAGAACAGAATCCAACAGAACAGAACATAGTAAATATAGATGCAAGGAAGCTTGGAGAAGCTTCATTTTTAAAAAATGATAAATTTTCCAGTGATCCATACGCATACATCTTTAAAATTTATTTTGTCTTCTTAACTCTGTTTTCTTTCTCTTTCCCTCAGATTTTACTGTATTGGCCTCTTTTCTGTCACCTACATCTCTACACTAACATCCTTCAGCCTTAGACTTAGGAATTAGCCACACATTTCAATGTAATGAGTGTTTACATTCTCTTCTTTAAACTTTTTGACCCTGGAGGGTGGCACCTAGTTCATTAATTCCTGTAGCCATAGAACTTGACTCATGGAGGTATAGGAATTTGACTTACGTGTTTCTCAAATTCTGTTAGAAAACACAGTTAAATATATGTGATCCAATAATGTTCTTATTTAGGTATGAATAACTAGAATTGAGAAATGTGAATTACTGATCTCATGGTTCTTTGCATGCTTAACAATTTTGTACACACTAACTTTATATCTCTTCATACATATGGCTTTTGTATAATAAAATAAAGCTGTGGAATGGATTTATATTCCATTTTTCATCTAGAGCACACAGGCTCAGAGAGTCTATAATTATGCATGCCCCCCCCCCCACTCCCACTGTGCCCAGTAAACTCACCATGGTATCAACCAGTCCGATGGCCTCAAAGGCAAAGTCAACACCAACACCTGTCATCTCCTTCACCACCTCCTGGACAGGTTTCTTGAGCTTGTTAGGGTTGAGACAGTCAGTAACTCCCAAGGTTCTGGCCCGAGGGAACTTCCGCTCATTGATGTCAACCCCAATGATTCTAGCCGCACCAGAGGCTTTGCAGCCCATGACGATAGATGAGCCGACCCCTCCGAGTCCAAAAACCACACAAGTGGAGCCAGGGGTGACCTAGAGACTCATACAATGTGCTTGTATTAGTTTTCAAAGCTGGGCATAGACAGTTAAGAAAATAATAGCGAGTAAAAACCTAGTGAGCTTTTTGAAACTTAGGTGATCATTTGGACAGGTTTAGCATTGTCTCCGCCCCCACTCCCCCACCCCACTGCCGCGTGGGCAAATACCTGTGATATAGAGGTAACACAAATTTAAGTGGGGTGCAGTCAAACCATTGAGCTAGACCACTCCATGGGTAGAAAGAGGTTTATTGGGGGTTGGGGGATGGGGCGGGGACAAACTGCTGAGCTGCAGGAAGTGGGAAAAGCCTTGTGAGTTTTATTGGGGTAGGTTTCCAGGGGAGGTCGATGGGGGCCAGAACAGCCGGGAGTTAGTGTGGGGACTTTAAAATGATACAGGCTGTTTGGGTCACTAAGGAACTAGATATGCTTTGCTTTTGGGGACAGAGAAGGGAAGTAGTTGCTTTCCTGATGAACAGAAACCCGCATTATAAGGTTTCTGTTTACCAGATAAGAATCCTGTTTATCCACTAAGAATCCAGGCCTCATTCTTAGGACACCGGTTAGCGGCAACACCAGTCAGGCCCACTCGTGAACTACAAATACTTTGCTTACCTTGGCTGCATTAACAGCAGCCCCATAGCCTGTAGGGACGCCACAGCTTATGAGACAAACTTTATCCATAGGAGCAGCGTCATCAATTTTTACCACTGCAATCTCGGGCACGACAGTATACTCTGTGAATGAGCTTGTGCGGAAAGAGTGATAAATCTTCTGTCCTCGGCAGGAAAACCGGCAAGTCCCGTCCAGCATCACCCCAGAACAAGGAAAAACACTGTTCCACAGAGATGCAGACAGACACCCACATACAGGCACAGACATAAGGAGTTGAAAAGAAAGAAGTGGTCACTAATGGGCACATTCCACGCGAGCCATTTGATAAAAGGACTAGGGACAAATCTACTAACTCTTGCTTGTCACAGAAGTTTCCTTTGGGGTGCAAGCAGGCGTCACATTCTCTACACTGAGGAATGATGAGGGTGAGGACTTTGTCTCCTGTATGGGATGGGGAAGATAAACCAATAAATTAGAAATTATTAATGGACTAAAAATATAAAATCTTACCCATTCTCTTGAAAACATGCTATGGACAGATGACAGTAGCCAGTGTGACATCTGGCGTTGTTTAAAGCATAGGTTGTTTTATCTGGTTTCAGATCCTTATCAATTTTTAAAGATGAAGAGACATTGCCTGCTGGATAGATAGTTGCAGGGCTGCTATTCCCTACTTAGAAAATGGAACAACAGAACCAGGAAGGAACCTCAGAGTCATCCAGTTTAATTCTTTTGCTTTCCATTTAAAAAATTTCAACCCCTTGAAATTTTGATTGTAGCCTGTTTACAGTAGCCTAGCCTTGCCTGACCCCTTGAGTCTTGAGTCTTCCCACTGACTCCCACTCCCACACAAACATTCAGCACTGGCTGAATGTGATGGCACTGGCTTTCCTGTGATGAATTCTGGGCTTCATCAACTTCAGGGGGAAATAAGGTTCTGTCTCTCACACTTTCTTTCTGGAAAAATTACTATAAAAGGTAGCTTTAAAGCCACCGAACTCCGGAAAGAATCTTGATAAAGTTTGAGTCTTGGATCAACTCACATCCCTAGAGGTTTATAGTATCACACTGAGGGAGTAGGTGGGAGGACGGTTAACCTACTCAGTCATCACAGACTCCAGAAGACTGGTCAGGGTCTACAGTGTTGTCTCTGTACTGGCCCTTACCCATGCATGTTGTATAGGAAAATTCCTTAAGATGGCATTAAAAAAAATTTCTAAGTGTAGATAAAGCACATCTTACCTTTATTGACTCTACAAGTTTCTAGATACTAGTTCTAATATCCGGAAGGAGTTCTAACTACCCTTTTCCTTCAGTACTCGTAATTGGTTCCCACAGAATTCCCCATGGAATCTTTCTAGCTAAAGCGGAGGTAGATTGTGAACCCTCCTATTTATACTACATTCTGGGAGACAAATATTCAGCCCTATACTTTCTTGCTTTTTCTTTGATGCACAGTGGGCGTCTCATAATTGCTATACATTTTGTGAATACACTTGATGGCCGTGAATGGCCTTGCTAGGCACTTTCTTAAGTTCCCTCTCTGCAGCTGGTCCCAAGCTACAGAGTTCCTAAATCATCATCTACGAGCGATTGCTCATTCACTGTGATCGCTTTAGGCATGCTAAGAATAGCAATGTCAAGATCCTTTAGGATGCAACTGGGGAAGATTTATTGACATGTAACCATCATCCTGTCCTGTAACTTTCAAGCGGACCATTCTAGTTGATTAAAGCATTCATTCATTTGACAAACACGCCAACTTTGGAATGAGCGCTATTCTAAAACGTTCTGGGGGAATAAAACCATAAGAAGGAGTTCTTAAGCCTAAGGATCTTTCAACATGTTTAGAGGTTCTCTGCTCTTAGATCCATCTTTAGCTGGCTTTGGGTAGAGACCCAGGAACTGTTCTCCATACCATATATTTGTGAGAAAAGAGGTGACAGGGATGTGGCTCTTTGGACTACTGGCCTCGTTTGATGACATGATACCTTATCAACTAGAAGAACCTAGAGGCAAAACCAACTTGTTTTTCTGCTGAATATACTAACAGTGCAGGCAGAGTGCCTCCTCCTGGATCAAGAGTTCCCTGGCAAGCTTCCCATTTTCTACCTGGTTTCACGGAGCAAACTCCATCACCAACACTCTCCACAATTCCTGCTCCTTCATGACCCGGAATTAAAGGAAAGTTCATCAAGAGTTCTCCTTTCAGCACATGGTCATCAGAGCCACAGATCCCTGAAGAGATCATCTGTATAGAAATTAAATGACTAAAAGACAACTGGTTTACCATTTTTTTTTCCCTCCCGCCTTTGTGGCTTGAGTGTTCAGTTTTGCTTTGTTTGATACAAATGACCTCACTTGCTTTCTAAAACAACACTCAGGTGTTAGAACAAAACCTGCCCCTAAAAGAGAGATCCTCTTTCAAAAGGGCAGATCCCACTGCCAGTAGAGACCCAGCCATACCTCCCTGCAGCTCTCTCTGTGACAAGTGGCAACCTGCGTTGTGACTCTGAGTGTAGAGACCACGCGTCTACCATGTTGAACCAAATCATGTGATATAAAACGTCCCAGTAGCCCCCTTACCCCAAGACTTATAGAAGCCAGACTTTCTCTTTGTTCTGGGGATTTGCACCGAGCTTTCTCAGGGGTCTTTGCTTGGGGAGTACCCTAGAGACTGCTCTCTAAGAGGTGGCGACTCTGGCCTCACGCTGTTCCTGTTCCTCCTGTGTGGTTGCTCTTTTCTTCTCTTCCAATCTTTCTCATTTTCACTTTTAACAAAGTGTCACTTCAGGCTTTAAAGAGAAATCTCTCCCCTTTACATCTCCGACGTGTTTCCAGTTATTGTATTGTTTCTGTCTAAGGACTCCCTCTTCACCTTGTACACTGCACTGTTTCTCCCCTGCAATCGTGAGGCCTGATGCTGGCCCCGAAGCCCTTTCTCCCAAAAAGCTGCATCTTTGATCAGCCCACTGCTGGCTTATTATTGCTTCTTTTATTATCATTGACAGGAAGCACATAGAAGGTCTTACCACTCACTGATTTAGATATGGAGGAACGGAGACCCAGAGACTTAGAACAACTTATCCAAAGTCACACGGTATTCCTAGTTTTATTTTTAACCATGTATACGCATGAATATTTGTGTAGGGATGTGTGCATACAAGTGTCACTGCCTGTGGAGGCCAGAAGATGGAGTAGAATCCCCTGGAACTGGAGTTATAGGAGGTTATGAGACAATAAACCTAGGTGCTGGGAACTGAACTCAGGTCCTCTGGATGAGCAATAAACACTCACTGAACCTTCTTCCCAACCTGTAATCTTCCCTTCCTTCCTTCCCTCCTTCCTTCCTTCCTTCCTTCCTTCCTTCCTTCCTTCCTTCCTCTCTCTCTCTCTTTCTTTCATGATATCTTGCCAACACATTTAATTGTTGTTGTTGTTTGTTTTTTCTCTGTTCCTCTTGTAACCCCTGACCCCCATCCTGAATCTTGCCCTGCATTGTTGAGCTGTTATGGGCAGGAATGAAGTACCTCTCTATAGTTGTGGTACTCTGTGTATCTAGTGTTAAATTTCCTAAAATAAACAGGTGATTTAGTGTGTGTTATGGTGTGGAGAAACATTTTGGTCTGGTGGCTATGTGGTAAAGGACTGGTCCTAGATACTCTGAGAAGCACTGAAACTTTCAGGCAGGAGGCCTAGCTGGTGACTGTTGGATCACTGGGTAAATGCCTCTGAAGAGAATTGTCCCTTAGCCCTCTGGCTGTGGCATGACTGGGTTTGCTGAGCTTAGCACTTCTGCTGAGCTGAGCTGAGATGCCTTCCAGTGACTCTTTCCAGACAGGGTTTTAGAGGCTAACACAATGTATCCAGGCTTAAATCATGAGAGCAGAGTAATGAGTCCCTTAGTCACTGCATATGCATTGCCCTAATCTTTGCTTTCTTAGGGCGTAGGTACATGCATGCCAGTCTAAAAAGAACTACCCCAAAAACCAAAACCATGATTGATATATTTATAAAAAGATAAAGAGATAAAGAGAATATGTTCTGTGGGTGTGTGGAGAGGTATGGGGGAAGGGGATGTCTCAGCGGGCCCATGCAGAGGCATCTCTTCCCTCTGAGGGATAAGCCACACACACTGGTATAGTATAGAATAGAGTTTATTCAGGGCATGGGGAGGGGAGTTAAGAGGGTAGTAGAGGCAGAGAGAGAAAGAGAGTAGAGAAGTAGAAAAGTAGAGGCCGGCCATGAGCACGTGGAGAGAGGGGGAAGGGAAAGGGGAGGGACGAGGGGACAGAGAGAAGCTAGAGGAAAGAGATCAAGAGAGAGAGAGAAGGGGGCAAGCAGCCCCTTTTATAGTGGGCCAGGCCTACCTGGCTGTTGCCGGGTAACTGCGAAGGTGGAGTTTAGACAGAGTACTAACAATGATACTGAAAAAAGAAAAGCCCTTTGGATCACACTGAAAAATACATAGGCCTATAACAGTACATGGTTTAAGTTAGAATTATTATAGTTAAAACACAATGATCATACAGGTAACATGTTTGCTAATGCATACAGTTATTAAGAATATGTGCACATACCCACATACAGGCATTCATACTATGTATATTTTAAAAACTAATAATTAAGTAAGTAATAAACTCTAAAATAAATCTTTAAAAAAAAAAAAAGGAATATGTCCTCTGCTGTGGTGACATATGCTTACAGTCTCCGCACTCAGGAGGCCGAGGCAGGAGGGTTGTAAGTTTGAAAACAACCTGAGTTGTATATTGAGATTTCTGTGTCAAACAACTAGCTCTCAATATTCAATAATATCACTTATTTACTTTAAAATCTTTTTCTTATTTATTAAGAAAAGTGAGAAGAGCAATATGCAAAAATGCTTATGTCATTTATTCATGTCTAGGCCCATGCATGTTTTTAAACAGACTGATTTTAGGTGTGTATGTGTTTTGCCTGTACTGTTGTCTGTGCACCATATGCATACAGTGTCTGTGGAGGTCAGAGAGGACATTGGATCCCTTGAAGCTGGAGCTACCAACGGCTGCCATTTGTAGGTGCTGGGAACAGAACCTTGGCTCTCTGGAAGGGGAGCCAGCGCTCCTAGCTGCCGAGCTACCGCTCCAGCTCCTACATCTGTTTTTAGAGTGTAGTATTATTTTCTTTTGTCTTCAAAAGTGAAGGCTGGCCCACCTAAGCTTACCTTAATACGAACTTCTCCGGACTTCGGCGGCTCAACTTGCACCTCCTCAATTGAAAGAGGAGACTTTTCTGCCCAGGCAATGGCTGCGCGACACTTGATGGTCTAACAGATGCAAAACACGATGGCGGTTAACAACAAACTTCATTTTTTTTTTCTGATCACACTTGCTATTATTTGTCAAAGTATGAAAGTCACAGGGAGAAAGCCGAGAGTAAATAAATATAAGTAAGTCCTGAGAATTTAAGAAATTTCCTCCAAATCTTTCAAAATACTTATTTACTTAAAAACTTTAATAATTTAAAAATAATTCTGTCATTTCGTATAAGGACATTTTCCACTTCCTTCTCCTCCTCCTCCTCCTTCTTCCTTGTTTTCTTTCTAAAACAGTGTTTATTGAACCATTACCTACCATAGACATGTTTGTAAGAATTTTTCTTGACTTTGAAGAACTTCATAGTCATAGTTTACAATGACTACTTTATTTGAGTATGTCCTAATTTTCTTAATAATTACCTAGATATGGGAGCGTTTCTATTGCTTTTATCTTACAAAGGGTATTGCAGTGAACATATTTGTTCATGCTTTTGTTTTGTTTGTTTTACTTTTTTTGTTTGCTTTTTTTTTTTTTTCTGGGTTTGTTTCCATAAGTGAAAATCTCTTTGAAAGGATGGAGTCATTGCTGATTTCCAGATCTCTTTCCAGAAAGATTAAATCACTGGACACACTCCCCAGAATAATAAATAGTCTATGCTATCATGCATTTCATTTTACTTATCATTGATTATATTGTTAAACAAAATATTGGACAGGCAGAAACAGCCTCGTATCTTCATTAGTAATTTTCAGTGTATCAGTGTGGGTATTCAGTATGGTGAGCAGAGTTGTAAAAGGCTTGGTCCTGTGTTTACAGAGCTATTGGCATCTTGTTTCTTTTGTTAATGCAAATGTTTCCTCAAACATCAAAGGAGTAACTTGCTGCCTGTCAGCTTGCCTTTTTTTTCCTCTGCTGTTTTGCTTATATTAATTTTGTGTGAAATTATGCATGTTTTGTGATGTTTATTCATAGAAGTCTCTTCCTTTGTAATTTATCCCGTTTCTACAGTCTGAAATTTCTGTGTCATGACAAATGTTTCTTATCCTCTTTGAAGTTTTTTCAGTTTGATTTTTGAACACTTAACTCATGTTTAACTGAAGATTGTTGCGTTGTATAATGTGAAGCTAGAATGTAATGTGTTGTCCCCGGGTAGTGTGGGTTAGCATTCTTTTCTACCCTTTCTCCTTACATTAGCACTGTTGCTGCGGAACAAATTCTTATTTTTCCAGGCTTCTCTTCAGAGGCTGTTTCTATTGCCCCTGGTGTGCATTCTTACAACAGCCCCTTCCTCAGTGAGTAGACAAGCTTAACTTTTAGATTTAGTACTTGGAGATGCTAGTTTGTATAGTTTGAAATGTGTTCCATGTGTAGGTGTAACTTCTGCATTGAAAATTGTAAATGGAGTAAATTTGTTGTGTCTTCAAGAAATCAAGACTCCAATGGAAGAGAAAATACAGGAATTTATCATGTAAAGAAAAGAGAAAGGTGTCACAAGAGTGTCCAACTAAAGGTATAGAAAATACTACTTCTGTCTGAGAACAACATAATTGGAATAATTTTTGCTTTCACTCAAAAGTTTCCTAAAAGATAACTTTTAGGGGGCGAGGGGAAATTCCTTATTTCAAAAGCAATATACACATAACTCAAAACACTAAGTTACACAGACAAATGTGAGGAGAGGAAGCATGGGAAACTTGGCATCCAGCTCTCCCCAATGCTAACAATAGAGGGTAAGTTCTTCAACTGAAATTCTCTGTGTGCACTGTGTGGGTTTATATGACCACACTGAGCACTCCGGTCACAAGGTGATGTTCCATGTAATGTAATGAGTAACTTTCAGGTGACCTTTACTGACTATGTAAGACTCACTGACTAATACATTGTAACCGCAGCTTTCTAATATTTAATACATTGTAACTGCAGCTTCCTAGTATTCCACAGATGTTGCTTCCATCCCGGCTTTCTTCACCATGACACTGTCAACCTGTTCCTAAAAACATATATGAGGGATACTTTCATGAGGATCCATTTTCAGATCAAGGTCCCTCCATAGCACAGCAGATAGCACGTCAGCCCTTTAAATTTCCAGACAAAATAGTAGGCAAAATTTTAAAGATTTTGCTACAGTATTAGCAAATGATCCCTTGTGAACCTGTCAGAAATCCATTCACCAAGCAGTGGAGGAAGACTTTCCACACCATTAAAACTTGACAATAATCTGTTCTGAGAGCACAGAATCTGAACTGATGGCTGTGAAGGTGACATGGGGCCATCACAGAGCAGCTCACTCACCTTTCCCCTGGTGTCCATGGTGACTTTTCTGGTTTCCTGTGTGTCCTTTGGGTATATCTGAAGCTTGGGAACCCTGGTCAAGTATTTATAGGGATCATGAAACCGAGAGCCATTAAAAGTAATTACCCTATCAAGATGGAGACGACCAGAAGGAGTAGAGAACCGGAAGGAATATGAAAGACAGGGAAAGGACGATGAGGGAGGAGATAGACTGACAGCCAAGGTGGTGGGTGGGACAGAGTCAGCTTGAAGATGAGGCAGAGGCAAGGGGCTAAGAGACACTGCAGAATAACATGCAGAGAAAGAACAAGCCAGACAGCACCTGCTAATTAGCCAACAGGAGGGGCAAGTAGATAGATGCTATTGCCAAATGAACAATAAAGACCTGGTTAAGCCTGGCTTACCTGTAGTCAGAGGAATGAAAAAGTACAAGCATCCCCATGAATTATAACTTAAAAACCTGAGAACTGCATTGTGCAAATGAGGAATGCTAAGATGAAGTAAGGCGTTATGAAAGACGCTCACACAGGTCAGAGTGTGGCTGTCGGGGTAGAGCTTACATAAAAGCAGGGGATGGGTGTGGATCCAAAACAGGGGGCTAAGTTAACCAAGGTGACATGAAATAAGGAGGCCACGCTGGTGATATGGATGGGGTGGGGAAGGTGTTCAAAATTTGTGACTCTGGCCTGACCCAGTAGGCATCTGCTTTTGCTGAATGAGTGAACAGAAAATAGGAGAGCAGGCAGTCGTACCCTGACTGCAGGTGAGCTCTGGCTGCTGCTGTTTGCCTGTAGTTCGAATCTGGTAGTCCTGTATGCACAGCATGCTCCGGGACCATCTGTAATGAGCCCCCCTCCCCACTTTGTCATCTCTGCTAATACCCAGGGCCTGCCATCCTCACGGCGCACCGCTGCTTTACAGTGAGGGTCATTTGTTGGAAGCAGGGGTGAGAAAGTCACTGGGGACAAAGGCCTGTAGTCACAGGTTTCTAGGTGTGGAGATGTTCTGGTAACAGATCTATCTGAATATTCTAGTCAGATGATCTGGACCAGAACTGGGATTAGGGCAGAGAGACCTGGTTTACCTGCCGTAAAACCTAATCAAGAGGATGCTTTTAGGCAGGCATCCTAATGACTGAGGCTTAAACAGGGAAGCATCATCTTTATGTACCTAGAGATGGTCCAAGAAAGAATTTTCAGGAGTGAGGGACTGAAACCTACTCAGTAAAGGGCCTTTTGCAACTGTCTCCGTTCTCATAGCTTCTGCATCCCTGTTCCTCCTCTTTTACACACTGACATATTGACCCTGTTCAGAAAAGTTTCATGTGATTGGCAGCAGCCTGGTAAGAAAGGCCACACCTTGAGGCAATGTGAAGATGTGAACTCTCCACTCTATAAGGGCCTCACTGGGTTTTGTGACACCACCTGGAACCTTAAATTTGTTTTTAAAGAATCTGTGTATGTACGGGTGTTTTGCCCGCCTGTGTGTCTTTGTATCACATGACTGCTTGGTACACTTGGAGGTCAGAAGAGGGCCCCAGATTCCCATGAACCACAGTTGGGAGGGATGTGAGCCATCCTGTGGGGGCTGGAGTAGAACATGGGTCTTCTGGAAAAGCAACCAGGGCTCTTGATCATGGAGCCGTCTCTCCGGCCCCACCTGGGAAATTTTTAGTCTTTGTTTTCTTCTATCAAATTTTCTAACTTTAGAACTTGACTGGGTACAAGACTCAGAATCCTCAGAGATGATGCCAGGTGTCACAATGTTCACAGCATTCACAGTGGAAGCCTGACAGCTCCCACCCACCCCACCCAGTCAGTGTGCTCTGTATTTGATAAGTGCCAAAGAGCCAGTGGTTTCTGGGACTCACTTTCTGTGTTAGTCAAGTTGTTCCCAGCAGCAATAAACTTAGGGAAAAGACAAACTATTTCAGAGAAACCCTGGAAGGGGGAGGGGGCACGCTGAAAGGAAAGGTCACAAGTGCAGCTGGGAGCTGAACCAGAAACCTGTTCGCCTTTGATGAGACTTCCCCTCTCTGATGTGAGAGTTAAAGTAGGCAGCAGTGTGAAGCGACGCCAGCACTAACAGACCTGGGTCCAAATCTTACTTTCTTCTCCAACTTAAGATGTAAGTTCTTAAGACATAAGAACCACAACACCAGGTTTCTTCTCAATGAAGGGATGATGTTATATTAGCTAATATAACCTGGTGACCTTATCTCTTCCGTTTCCTCCCAAGCACCAAGTCAGTTATCATACACAGATACTCAGTACCCTGCCTTGTACATAGTAGGTCTCTGTGTCTTTATCACCATCACCATCATCATCATCATCGTCAGTATCACTACCATGTCTGTCAGAGCATTCATTTCATTTCCTCTCAGCACTAATTTGCTTTTTGCCCTGTGGTAGGGAATACGGCCATGGAGAAAACATCTGATTCTTAAATTTAACAATTTCAATCAGAGAGTTCTTATCTCTCTCCTCTTAAGCCCACAAAATGCAAGGAAGGCTGTTCTCTCTTCACAAGGATCAGGTGTTCTCTTGCTCTAGTGAAGTCTAGAATAACCTGTGGGGTTGGGTAAGAACTTGGCATGCATCCTGGCAGCTATGCGGATGCCTCTGAGAAGGTGAGATTGGGCGGGGTGGGGGGGGAAGCTCAGGGAAGATAACACCACTGCCAATCCTCAGTCACTGAAGACAACCAAAGCCCAAGCCTTGCCTTGAAGGCCCGCCTTTCCCTGTAGATGCAAGTCGATGAGGTCATGCCAGATTCCAGATTCCTTTGCACCTCATATCAATATAGATGGTATCCCTTCAAGAAGACAGTGTGCCAAGATGTAGAGAGGAAGGACCGTGTGAGGAGACATGTTTGTAGAAGCAACTTTTGCATGACTCTTGGAAAGTGACACAATGTTTACTTGATATGAGGCAAAATAACCACTGGCTTATAGAATCAATGAAGTATTTTAGTAAAAAAGAGGCAATAAAACGGTGAGTAGTTAAAACATAATAGAATACCGAGATTAAGTTGAATTTCAAGCTATTTTAATTTTAATTCAAAGATGTATATTTCTGGTGTCTTCTAATGCAGTCCTAGGAGATGTTACTTACGTACTGTTTGTCACTACAGCTCTAGATTCCCTACATGTTGACATACAGGGTGTGCTTATACAATCTAAATCGGTCCTTGCTTTACCTAACTTCCATTACTATAATAAGTCATGTGATGAGCTTGTTTAGAGAGAAAAGAGATCTATTTTTGCCGTGACCTGCGTGGGAGAGAGAGGCCTGTGCCACAGGCTGCTGTCCTCATCTGCTGAGTCACATGTATCACATCAGAGAGGGGACAGGTGTGTACTTGACATCCGTGTGTCTCCTTCTCCCTACGAGGTCACCAGGATTCAAACATTGAAACTCCACCGTGATGAGGTCTCACTTCTAACTGTTGTAGTTGGGTTACCTATGCACCCAGGCTGCCATTACCATGAAGTGTTGGGGACTGAACCAGCTTATCTCTGGAGGATAAGCTGTATTCAAACCACTGCACTGCTGGGTCCCGTTTTTGCTTTAATCAAACCAATATGTGCTCAGTCCCCATATTTTATAGTTTCTCTGCTTCTCTTCTCTGCCTGACTGGAGGATTCTTCTCTCTCTTTCCGAGTCTGCCACCTCAGTTCACTCCTTCAGTGGTTCAGGGACAGGTTTTGTTTGGTTTCTGTATCTCACCCAGTCCTGCACACACACACGGTCTCTGATGGAAACACTGTCCTCTGGGTTAAATTTGAGTCAAGAGACCCAAAAGTCAAACCTGAAGTGCACCGTGTTCTTCCTCCCTCTTTCTCTTCCTCTCTGTGTTAGGTTTGAATCCCTCCTGCGGGAACTTTAATGGTGGCATGGCTGCACTTAGTAGTTAATTTGACTTACAGGCTTTGAGCCTCAGTGAAATATGAAGTTATGTCACTTCCTGCTTCATTGTCACAAAGCAGCTGAAGCATTCCCATAGCAGGGATGACGGACACTCAGTGTGCCTAGAAGTATCTGAAGGAATTGATTGGCTTTTGCCAATTTATTTATGTAACTCCCAGGGAACTCTTTCTGTCATGTTTTGAAACTAATAAAAAAAAATCCTAGGCCTTTCAGATACAAAGACTGGGGCTCAGAGTGAAGGGGTGTTCCCGTATGACGACCCACAGATCTGGACTGTATCTTCCAAAGTCTTATTTCTTCTTTTACCCAAAGGTGCTCTTTAAATGCCACATTAAAGGTACAGAATAGCTACAGTGCTAACAGCCCGTGCTCGCCGGTCTTCCCTATGTGCCTGTATGCTTCAGGGAAAAGGATAGTTTGATCCTCGTGCCAATGCCCTGGGTTAGGGTTTTCCGTTGAAGAGAAATGGATGTGAAGATGTTAAGCAGTGATGCCTGCTGTAGCTGGTAGACAGGAGTGAGCGAGCCCTGATGTCATCACCTCCCCTCCACACACACACACACCCACACCACACACACACACACCACACACACACACCACACACACACACACACACACACACACACACACACACACACACACACAGAGCCTACTGCCTTATCCCCTTTCCTTATGAGTTCTCAGGCAATATCTTCTCAGACAAGATTTGAGTCTTTCGTTATTTCTTCTCTATGCCATTTACTTTTCTATCTTACCCAGAAGTCCCCATTAGCATTTAGCATTTACGTAAAGAGAGTTGGACAAGACAACTGAGGACACTCACAGTGTCTCTATGCTTGCCCACCCTGTTGTGCCTTTGGATCTTGTCAGGGCCCCTAGGCACTCTGTCTTGAATTATCCTTGCTATGAAATCAACTTCTAACAAAACAAGCAAACGAGCCAGAGAAGCTGTGGGGCCTTCAGAGTGCAGGGAAAACATTTTTCTGTTTTGAGCATGTGTATGGATATTTTGCTCATAAGTGTGTCTTTACATGAAGTCAAAGTACAATATATGTTTTAGTGCAGATCTCAGTAGTTACCATTGAGTATATGGATTACAAGCACTCCCTCAGGATGAGGACTCTGCT